TCTGTAACACAACTAAAAATAAAACGTACAACATAGACAAGGTTGAGAGAGGAGAAACAGAAATATACTATTATAAAGTTCTTGTACTACCTGTAAAATGGTACAATATATAATAAACTCGAAGGTAGACTTGATAAACCCTAAAGCAATCACAGAAAACTCAAAACAAAGAGTTATATTAATAATCCAACAAAAGATATAAAATGGAATAAAAAACTCAATAAATCCAAAAGAAGGCAAAAAAAAAAGAAAAAAGGAACAAAGAATAGATGGGACAAACAGAAAACAAATATCAAGACAGACTTAAACTTAACCATATCAACGGTCACATTAAATGCAAATAAAGTAAACAACCAGTTAAAAGACAGAGATAGATAAATGGATAAACAAAATGGATAAAAGTATCAAGATGTAACTATAAGAGTAGGGAAGAAGAAGCTGTCTGTAAGAAATACACTTTTAAAATGCAGACACAGTATACAACTAAGAGATGGAAAAAAGACTTACCATGTTAACACTAATGAAAAGAAACATGAAGTGGTTATATTAATATCAAACAAAGCAGATTTCAGAATAAATAATATTATCAGAATAAAGAGGATCATTTAATAAAAATAATCCAGAGGACATAGCATTCTTAAATGTTTATATCCTAATAAGAAAACTTTAAAATACATGAAACAAAACTGATAGAACCAACAAAGAAGAGTAGAAAAATGCAGTCATAGCTTTCAGTATCCCTCTGTCAATAACTGATACAAGAAGCAGACATAAAATGAGCAAGATACAGCAGACTTAAACAATACTATCAAGTTGACCTGGTTAACATTTCTTAGAACATCCACCCCATGAGAGGAGAGTACACATTCTTCCCAAGTGCTCATGGACCATTGACCAAGATGGAGCATATTCTGGACCATAAACAAATCACATCAAATTTAAAAGAATTTAAGTTACACAAAATGTGTTTTCTGACCACAGTAGATTTAATTAAAAATAAAGAGTCCTAAAAGTCTCCAAACTTCTGGAAACCAAACTACACATCTCCAAATAACGAGGAGCTAAAAGGAACTTTAAAAATATTTAGAAGTGAATGAAAATAAAGCACAATATATCAGAATTTGTGGGATACAAAATGAGTACTTAGCAGAAAATGCTATATAGTACTATAAATAAATCCCTATATTAGGAAAGAAATATCTTTAATCAGAGATGTCAGCTTTCAACTTAAGAGAACGGTATATGAAGAGCAAATTAAACCCAAAAGAAGAAAAAGAAAGTAATAATAATAGAAGATAAAAATAATAAAGATCATAGCACAAATCAATGAAATAGAAAAAAAAGGTTTTTTTAAATAAGAAAATCATTGAAACCAAAAGCTGATTCCTTGCGAGGCTCAATAAAGATAAACCTCTTGCCAGAATGATAAGAAATAAAAAAGAGAGAAGATACCAATTATTAGTATCAGGATCAAGAGAGGCAATATCACTATAGACAGCACATGTTAAAATGGTAAGAAAATATGAACAACCATGGCTATAAATGGGGCTTCCCTGGCAGCTCAGTGGGAAAGAATCTACCTGCCAATGCAGGAGACGTGCGTTTGATCCCTGGTCCAGCAAGATCCCAAGTGTCTCAGAGCAGCTAAGCCCGTGTGCCACAGCTATTGCGCCTGTGCGGGAGCCTGAGAGCTGCAAGTACTGAATTCATGTGCCGCAACTGCTGAAGCCCGTGTGCCCGAGAGCCGTGCTCTGCAACGAGGGAAGCCACCGCAGTGACAAGCCCAAGTAGCCCCTGCTCACTAAAACCAGAGGAGCATCCAGGTGGCAATGAAGACCCAACACTGCTAAAAATAAGTAGATAAGATACATTTTAAAAATTAATTCAAAATGGATAATAGACCTAAATATAACACCTAAAAGTCTACAACTTCTAGAAGAAAACACAGGAGAAAATCTTTGTGACCTTGGATTAGGCAAAGTGTACAGTGATACAATAATACAATCACTAGGAACAAACTGATAAACTAGACTGCATCAAAATAAAAGTCTTTTAGTTTTTGAAAGACATTAAGAGAAGGGGCAGCAAGCCACAGACTGGGAGAAAATATTTGTAATCCACATAACTGAAAAAGTACTTGTATCCAGAATATATATGCTCTAAAAACAAGTAAATGACAACCCAAAGAAACTGTGCAAAAGATTCAAACATAACAAAGATATATTGATGTAAATAAGCACATAAGAGATACTCAAATATCATATATGTCATCAGGGAAATAGAAGTTAAAACTGCACCCCTATCAGAATGACTAAAATGGAAAAGATGTTGATTTCATGTGTTGAGAAGAATATGAAGGAACTAGAAATTTCATAAACTGGGTGGTAGGAATTTAAGATAGCACAACTACTTCGAAAAACAGTTTGGCAGAACCTTAAAAAGTTAATCCCAACTCCCACATGACCTAGCTATTCTATTCCTAGTATTTACTCAAGAAAAAAGAAAAGAGTGTCAGATGTAAAGAACAGACTGTTGGGGAATTCCTTGGTGGTCCAGTGACTAAGACTCTGCGCTCCCAATACAGGGGAGCTGGGTTTGACCCCTGGTCAAGGAACTAGATCCCACGTGCCACAACTAAGACTCTATGCAGCAAAAAAAAAAAAACAGACTGTTGGACTATGTGGGAGAAGGCGAGGGTGGGATGATATGAGACAGTAGCATTGAAACACGTGTAAAACAGATGACCATATGTAAAACAGATGACCAGTGCAAGTTAGATGCATGAAGCAGGGCACTCAAAGGTTGTGCTCTGGGACAACCCAGAGGGATGGGGTGGGGAGGGAGATGGGAGGGGGTGTTCAGGATGGGGGGACAGATGTGCACCTGTGACTGAATCATGTCGATGTTTGGCAAAAACCACAACAGTATTGTAAAGTAATTATCCTCCAATTAAAATAAATAATTAAAAAAATGAAAAAGAAAGTGTGTGCCATACAATGACTTGTACATGGATGTTCACAGCCATTTTACTTGTAACATTTCACAAACTTGCATAATCCAAATGTCCATCAACAGGTGGATGGATCATTTCAAAATATATGCACATATCAAATCATCATATCATAGACCTTAAACTCATACAATGTTATATGTCAATTATATCCCAGTAAGTTTGGGAGGAAAAAGGAGAAACAGCTACACAGGTGAATGAATAAACAGTATTTTAGTTATATAGTGGAATATTATTCGGCAATGAAAAAGGAAAGGGCTATTGCAATCACTGAAGCCCGCAAGCCCTAGAGCCTGTGCTCTGCAACAACAGAAACCACTGCAATGAGAAGCCCAAGCACTGCAAACAGAGAATAGCCCCGGCTTGCTGCAACTAGAGGAAACCCATCCACAGCCACGAGGACCCAGCACAGACAACAATTTAAAAAAAAAAAAAATTTAAAAAAAAGAAAAAAGGAAAGGGTTATTGATACAACATGGAAGAATCTAAAAATAATTATGCTCATTGAAAGAATACAAAAAGATTGTCTACTATATGATTCCACTTATACAGAACTCTAGAAAATGTATAATCTACTGTGAGAAAAAGCAGAACTTTAGTTGCTGGGTATATTGACTATCTTGATTGTCATGATCATTTCAAGAGTATTACTTATATTAAGACTTATAAAATTATACACTTTAACTATGTTCAATTATATCTCCATAAACCTGTTTAAAAAACAACAACAAAAATTCTGCTCCTTGCCGAGTCTTACACTAATTAAAGCTGCATGTGGTCAGTGGGCCCCCTTAACGTCTTGGGGCCAGGGGAGGAATATGAATGCACGTGTCTCAATGCGCAGTCTGCCTTCATCTTTCCAGGCCAGGCACCAACCAGTTGCCCCTCATCACCCCTCAGATATCGGGCGATATATACGGGCAGAGGGCAGAAAGGGGTTCCCACCAGCCCTGGAAGCAGGTGTGGGATCCAGATCCTGAACACTGTGAAGATAGAGGAAGCAGCTGGGCTTCAGATGAGCCTATCTTGGTCTGGGGACTCCCCACCCTTGCCTGGGGTGTGGTCTGCGGAGATCACACTAGAGGAGGCCAGACTAGAGGCCTTTAAAGCAAAGTTTATCTGCAAGGAGATAAGATTAAAACTGGAAAATGTCTAAAACTTCCACAGCAATTTGAAAGGCATGGCTGCAACATCCAAGCCGGGGTCATTTTTTCTCTCAGTTCACGTGTCCTGAGTTTTATAAAAGCTGTGTGTCCTCCACGGTTCGGATACAAATGAAAAACAATAAAGCAAAAAGCAGATCCTTTGCCACAGATAACTGAGACTCTGCCTTAAAACACGGGGCTCTGAGCAGAGGCCTCTAAGGAAGAGTGGTTTCAAAGTAGGATAAATGTAGGGTGTGCTCTGTTAGAACAGACTTTTCTGAGGCTTTGGTCGGGCTGACTGCTCCAGTTGTGTGTCTTTCTGGGTCACTCTGTGTGGAGTTATGAGCAGCACCGCAGCAGTGGTGATTCTGTGTATTTCCTGACTCAGAATTTGCGAAGAGTTGCCTTTTCTCTATTTTTTAAAAAAATTGTTCTGTTTTCTTTTATGGGGTAGGATACACAAAGGAAAAAGATTATGTCCTCTATTGCACATCACAGGGAGCTCTGCTCAATGCTATGTGGCAGCCTGGCTGGGAGGGGAGTTTGAGGGAGAATGCATACATGTATATGTATGGCTGAGTCCCTTTTCTATCCACCTAAAACTATCACGAGGTGTTAACTGGCTATACTCCAACACAAAATAAAAAGTTTAATTAAAAAAGAGTAACATACAGAATAGTATGTCTGTGTGAAACATAGTAAAGGATGAGGAATGTGAAGAAGAAAAAAAAAAAGATTATGTCCTTTTCTCTCCACTTGAACGTGAAAACAAAGGCCCTGCCATGCTCCCTCCGAGTCCAGCCCCGCCGGAGTCCACCACTGACCATAGCAAACAGGGCCCTTACCTTGTGCACACAGGACTTTGCATTCAGGAAAAACAGCTCCACCGTGGTTTTATCCTTCAGGAACGATATGCTTTCAATGTAAAACCTGGAAAACAGTACAGAGTTTCCTCCTTTAGATTCTCTTCCTTCTCTGCATGATTTCCCCGTGTAGTGTCTCTCAGAGAATTACGAGGAGCTAGGGAATGGCTGTGCTTTATTTTCCTTTTAAAAGCCATCTGCAGCATGGATGCACACCTATAAGTATGTATGAATATGTGTGGATATATGCAGGCATGCAGATAAAGTCTTCTACCGTGTGTGGGAAGGTGAGCGAGAGAAAAATCCAAAATGGTCACCACCTGCAAATCCATCTTTATTCTTTCCTTTATTTTATTCTTTATAAATAAATATATATTTATATAAAAATATAAATGAAATTTATTAAATTTAATTTTATTCTTTATTCTTGCTGCTCCTTTGACACACGTTCTGGGAGTTCTCAATACCTCCCACAGCTTCAAAACAAAGCCCAGGTGAGTTCTGATGGCTGAAAGCCGAAGTCTGCTGAGAAAGCAACACCGTGTCACTGAACCGAGAGGCCCGTGGCTCCACGGTTTTCAGACTCAGGGTGGGTGTGAGGACCCCCGTTTACCTCGCCCCCACGCACCAGGAGAGTTTCGATCACGTCCTTCCTTCCTTCACTCTCATCCTTCCAGGCCCCGGGCTTTCCCTTGGCTGGAAGCCAAGCTCCCCGCTTAATACTGGCCTTTCTGATGCAAATCAGGGTATTCTGGGTCTCACTCCCTTTTCTGGGCCTTTGCTTGTTCCCTCTGTGAGGCCAAGTCCCTCCTTTGGGAAAAAGCTGACTGTCCCGAGGTGGGGAGGGGAGGAGAGTCCTGTGGAAAGCTGGCTGGTTGAAGGCAGGCCTCTGGGGTGCAGGAGTGGGCCAGGGGTGGAGGCCCAGAGAAGTTTTTCTCAAGTGTTGCAGCCCTACCTGATGAATAATGCATGAAGAGACTTAATACCCGAAGACAGCTCACAGCTAGGATCCTGGAAGAGAACACTGCTTTCAATGTGGTGAGAGTCAAGATAAACCCGAACTGAGGTCCCAGGGAGTTTTGCTCTTAGCTCTGCAAAATCGTGATAGACCTTGGGCATTTGCACTTTTTATTTATTTATTTTTCCTCCCCTTCCACAATAAGGAAACGTTTGAGAAATAAATAAAGCAGCTTTAAGAGGCGGTGAAAGATTTTATCACTGAGATGGTAAAAATCATTTGAAAAATTCCACCCTTAGTGTTGAATCATCAAAGGAGAATAAATCCTTAATAAATAGAAAGAGAATAAATCCTTTCTATTTTCCCTTACAAGGGTTTATGTCACTTATTAGTGAATTTACTGAAGAGTGATGAATGTTAGGTATGCAAGAAGGGAAAGTTAAGGATTAAGGGGTGGGGGGAGATGAAGAGTTGGAGGGAAAAACCAGCTTTGGAATCAAGAATGTAGAATATGGAGTCCCAGTTCCATCATTTATTACCTGGGAGGCCTTGGGCAAGTTAGCTTGCTTCTTTGTGTCTTCTCTAAACTGCTCTTATGACTGCACTTACTCACAGGGTTTTGGAAGAATTAAATGAGATAACAAAAGGATGTGAAGCAACAAATACTAATGATTGCTAATAAAAATCCATTTTCTGGAATTTAATGCTATGTGGCCTGGCGGACGTGGCTTAAGCTTTGAGTCTAAGATACTTTGTCTATATGGTGGAGACAAGGATGGCCATCGTAGGGACTTTAGGAAGTGCCCAATACAGCCTACAGATCAAAGATGGTTGGAGCCTCTTGTCCTGCCAGTGGTACCATGATGAAATCGTCCATTGCCTCCTGCTCCCTAGATTCCTGCAGAGCCTGGATTCGTATCTTTTCTGAGCCTCGTTAGTCCAGTTTTCCTTCAATTCTGGTAGCTTAGCCATAATAGGTTTCTGTTGCCGGCAACCGGAGAATCCAAGTCAGTAGAGGACTTCCCACGTGCTACGGACAGTGTGCAGGGCTCTATATGCATGCTGCCATTTAACTTCAGCAAAACCAGATGCCAGAGGTAGCAAGTTATTAACCCTTCTTACAGATAAGAAAACTGAGATGCACACATAAAGTCAACTTCCCCAAGTCACCCAGGTAGAAAATGGGGGAGCCATGATTCAAATGAAGGCCTTTCAGACTTCAGATCAAAGATGGTTGGAGCCTCTTGTCCTGCCAGTGGTACCATGATGAAATCGTCCATTGCCTCCTGCTCCCTAGATTCCTGCAGAGCCTGGATTCCTATCTTTTCTGAGCCTCGTTAGTCCAGTTTTCCTTCAATTCTGTTAGCTTAGCCATAATAGGTTTCTGTTGCCGGCAACCGGAGAATCCAAGTCAGTAGAGGACTTCCCACGTGCTACGGACAGTGTGCAGGGCTCTATATGCATGCTGCCATTTAACTTCAGCAAAACCAGATGCCAGAGGTAGCAAGTTATTAACCCTTCTTACAGATAAGAAAACTGAGATGCACACATAAAGTCAACTTCCCCAAGTCACCCAGGTAGAAAATGGGGGAGCCATGATTCAAATGAAGGCCTTTCAGACTTCAAAGTTCCTACTCCAAACAATATGACAGGATGCTTTCCTATAATAATAATCACAATGAAATATAACATGTACACAATGCCATGGAGCCCAAGGTTGCAATGCAATTAAGTCAGCTTAGGAATCAAGAGAGAGAAGGCAGCCAAACTGAAATCCAGAAGACTCCGCGTCACAGGACACGCTGTCCCCAGGACACGCTGTCCCCAGGACAGTTGAGCCCAGTCTTAAAGAATTCATGAGTTTACCAGGTAACAAAGGGAGGAAGGGCATTCCAGGGAGAGGGCATGTAAGCCAGGTCAAACCTCTTTCTAGTCTTCAAGAATTAAAAAAACCACATGCAGGGAGCTGGGTGGCTTAGCACCAAATCAACCTGTGATGTGTCCAACTCCGCACAAATAACTTCGTACTAGACATCTGGCTCCTCTTGTTTCTGAAGCCTGGGTTCCTGACTGTACCCTCGTTCCAGTAAACAGGTCCCTATCTTGTTTTCCAGTACTTTCTGGCAACCTGCCCTGTTGCCTTCTAACTTTCTGCCTAGGCGTCAGATTACCCACTCTCTGAATCCACAGTCCCCTCTCTCCCTCAAGGGCGCCACTGTGATGACTACATTTATGGAGGGTTTGAAAAGTACATATGGTTCTCCAGGAGAATGGCTCCCTAGGCACACCTATCAACACGTTCTATGAACTGAAAACAGAATCTAAGGATTCTCAGTGAAATGAAACGGACTATCCCAGGCTTGTAAAATAAAGTCCTTTTGTTTCAGGGCGTTTTTTTTTTTTTTTTTTTTTGGTAAAAGGATACTGTTTCCTTTCTGCAGGCTTACTGTGAATGATTTCACTAAGACTTTGTGAAGTCAAAGCCCATGGTTCAATTTTCAGCCTTGAAACAAACCCAAGCTTTTGGATTAGGCATATGTTCTGGAGACAGACTTCATACAATTTAACAAATGTAATTTCTTGAGAATTTGCCTTCTTGAGAAGAGGTTGTCTCTACTTTTCATGGTTCCCCCGTTAGCATTTTTCTCTCCTTGTTGATGGGACAGGTGTTCACCTAACCACTAATCAGTGATAACAGAACATCCACCTCAGTGGCATGACAAAGTTGGAGGAGGGGCAGGCCTGTCGGGGCAGGCCTGTCAGCCAGATGATGATACACATGGGTTGAAAAGCAGAAGACTCTGGTTGTTTAGGATGGGCTGTCCGTTAGCGGTCACTGTCACGTAGGTGGCCCATATTTTCCTCCTGTGTCATTTATTTATCATGATCAAAAGTCAACACCACAGGGAATTCCCTGGTGGTCCACTGGTTAGGATTCAGCACTTTCACTGCCGTGCCCCAGGTTCAATCTCTGGTCAGAGAACTTAAGTAAGATGCCATAAGCTGTGAGGTGTGGTAAGAGAAAAAAGAAAAAAAAAATGAGGGCAAAAAAATAAAAGAGCCAACATCACAGAGTTGGGGAGATGCTAAGTTGAAGTCCAGCCGCAACACTGATCCATGCTGAGGTCTTGGGCCAAACTGCTTGGCCTCTTGTTGCCTCCCTTTTCTCACGCGTGGTTTCAGTGGTCAAGTGAGTGGTGAGGATCATTATTATGTTTTTATTATCTGTCTACCAGGGAGACTATAACAATAGGTGCGGACTTGGTTGGGAACCTCTTTAAAACTTCAAGTGTAAAAACAAGAATGGAAATTCCAGTATCTTGTCTAAGCTTCTTCTCTTAGGGAAGTAGGATGCTACAAAGGTGTCCATCTTGACCAAGAATGGGAAAACACTCTGAAACGAATATTCTTCTGACCACTTAGGATTTCTCCCCAGCTGAGCATATTTCCTTTGTTTTCTAGAATCTTTGCTATGTCTGAGCGACAGCATCAAAGAAGGCAAACTGGGCAGGAATGACTCAATGATTTCTCACTCTGCACAATGCTGATTTCGTGACTGGTGTCCCGGGAGGGCTGCATTCAAACACCTTGTTCCCAGTTTCATTCAGCTATTGTGGGTAATTTCAGGCATTTACTGCAGCCACCTGCCTAAGTAGATTTCTATCAGGTTCTAATCTACATTCTGAACACAGAGATCTGTATTTATTGCTTATAATGACCCTGCAACCTCATAGTCCTGTTTTATGATGCACGCTGAAGACAGCGGGGTAATTGAAGTGTATTTCACTTTCTCCAAAGGATGATGCAGAGCCTCCGAGAGTCCCCTGTGTTCCCTTTCATCTCTGGGGGGAGTGCGCGCTCAGAGAACTCCCGAAGGGAAGCACCATTGGCCCCTACACTGTGCTCACCTGCCAGGAAAACTCCGCCTCACCTTCGGATTTCCAGGCAACCCGAGAAGTAGAGAGGGCCCTCCAGGTGAACCTGTAGAAACCTGCCCTGTCCTCCTCCTCTTTCTGCATGCCTCTTTCCGAGCTCTCCAGGGAAAGGCTGGGGGCCCAGGAGGGTAAGTGCCTTGCTGTGACCAGTACAAAAGGGGAGGGAGTCATCTG